TTAGCCTTAATGTTCCACTTTATCTACAAAGTCTCTTTCAAACAAATCTCAAAGCACAGTTCTAATATAACATTGCGCTACTGTAAATATCATTTTAAAAAATTGGTTTGCTGAATAAACTACAGAAAGGTGAATTTGCCACTCAAGCTGAGGTAATGATATATGGGAAAAACCTTGAGCATCTGAGCCAAGGATACTGCTAAGAGAGCAGTCAGATATGAACTAGTATAATCTGCCGCTGGATAGTGGATGGGTCAAGACTCAAGAGGATCAAAAGAGACCTCCCTAAGTTTCTCAGACTCTAACAGATGGGATGGGATGGGGCAGGGAGGACTGCAATTTTAAACTTGCAAGATTTTGTCAGTGAAGTAGAATTAGCTCATCTGGTTGTGGTTCATATCTGGTTTATCCCAAGAGGCCAGATAGCCATAAATTAAACATGGCAAATCACCAGGGTGAACACATATTATGAGGTAAGCCATGCCATTGGTTAATGGATTTTGGCTTAGTTTGAATATAGGTATAAAAAAGAGCTACTTCAGAATAGTTCTGAAAAAAACGCAGTGGCTTGGTTCATATGTATGTGTGTATCATTTAACCATGGTTTAAAAATTAACCTTCAGTTACTTTGAATGGATTAATGTAACACACTAAATCACACATCACCATTAAATCCACCCCAATATCTCGAGTTAATGGAATATTTAGTGAGATACAGCCAAACAAATAACACTGTTATGTATCACAAGATTGAAGCCACTCTATGTACAGTATATTCAATTGGATTCAAAGCTGTTCATTTCTGTGATTTTGGTTCTTGGCACTTAAGTTTCTTATGCCAGTTCCTAACCCCCAAACATTCCAAATAAAAAAGTGGTTCTTAAAATACTCATGTTTATAAAAACAAATCACTGAACACCCCCCCCCGCCCCCCAATCTGCACAATGCAAACCAGTCACAAAAATGGAATTTCCTCTATAATGCATCTGGAGGATCTTGATAGTTTTCACATTTTTCTTCTTCTGTTTTTTTAATATACATAATCTATTTCTTTCACAGCCAGAAAATTTCATTTCTCATTTTCTCATCAGCCACTATCTGGACATAGGCAAATCCAAAAGTGATTTCTATTTATGTTTCAAGGAGCTTCATATTCTGTACCCTGTTTGATCAGATGACTGGGAAGTAGAATGAGCAAGCAAGATGTGAAGTGGGGATGGAAACTCACATCGTTATAGCAGTTACACAAAGAGTTTCACTTCACCTTTTCTTCAATGATTTGCAAGACAAAGGACTAGAACAATTCTGCTTCTTAGCAAAGTTTGATCTAATAATTAAGGCATTAGGTTAGAAACCAGGAGACTGTGAATTATTGTCTTGCTTTAGGCATGAAAGCCAGATGACTGACTTATAGCCAGTTACTTTCTGTCAGCCCAATTCACCCCACAGGTGATTATGTGAAAAATAAAAGGAGCAAGTATTATGTGACCCACCTTGAGTTATCTGCAAAAATAATAAAGATAGAATTTTAAAAATATCTAAAAATAAATAAAAGTATTTCACTAGCATCTTTACTACTCTGCTCTTTCTAGGAATTGACATTATATACTCATTTAGCATCTGAACATAATGGTCTCATTCTCAATCCAATAGTTAACATTGTGCATTATTTCAAAATGTGGTAAATACTAGTCCTGCCATGTTAGGTTCTTCTCTTGGTTTTTGCCCCAATGTCTTATCCTGTTGTCGCTATAGCTTCTGGAAATCTCTTTCAAACATGGACTGTTGACAATCTCAACTAATTTTCTGTTGAACACTAAATATAAGAGATACAACCTGATAATGCTGCTGCTTCTATTGTATCTGGACTTGTATCAGAGATGTAGCTGACAGTTTGTAGTAGAGCTGGCCCAATTAATGGGCAGATTGATAGTGTGTCTCAAGTGCTAGAATAGATGATGGGATACCACTGAAAATGAACCAAGGCATTCATTCATTCTATTTTATCATGATGAGGAGAACCACCAGTATGTTGGAAAAAAAGTCTAGGGTCATCTCTGCTTTGCAGTTACTCATATGATTTAGTTCATAAATCCATGATTTTGATTTAATTGTTACCCTGTTTTCTTGAGGTATTACACAATCACAATACTGTTTGGTGCCATTTTTCATATCCTATTTTGTCTGCTGTGTACAACACCCTGGTACTGTTACAGTCGTCCCCATCCCCCCCGCCAGTGGCTGCAATATTCCAGTTATAAGATGGATCACTTGTGATGTTTTACTCACAGTGATATCAAGATATACACAGCCATGGCACCTATCAATCTATCTAAAACACCAAAACTCTCTGCCACCTGATGATAACAGCAAAGTGAGAAATCATTTTGAAAAGCGGCAGAAGAAGAACGTAAGATTATTTCTACAGGAGAAAATAAATCCAAAACTTCAAGGAAATTGGAGGATTTTAGGAAAGCATTATTTAGGGAACAATGTCATATTTGGAGGGTAGTCATTATGGATGGAGGTGCAAATTGGGGTTCTGTTGCTTCAGAGAAAGATAAAATCCCTCTCTCTTTTTCCCTATGTGTTTCTCTCTGTGTGTATGTTTATGGGTGCAATGATCTTCCAAATCAAAAGATTACGTTTGAGTAAGACTGCGGCATCCTTTTTTCTAGAAACGAAACTCTGAAACTTTGATTACACGTGATCTTATCTTCTTTTTAATATGCATATAGATCAGAAGAATAAGTTGTATGATAGGCATACATGAATCCACACCCATCTGAATGTGTCTGATTTGGAAAAACACATTTACAAGTAAGTAATTCTAAAATGCAGCAAATAAGAGATACACACTGTTATATAACATACATCATTTGTGTACAATCAAGTTTTAAAAGATAGATTACCCTCTTGGCTTAAATTTTTTAAGTATCTTTGAAAATTGTAATGTTCTGTTGTAATAATTTGGGAATAGGAAGTAGGATTTATTTATAAAACATTACAATCTGAGAATACAGAAATTTATGCTCTCTGTGGGAAAAAATATCATTTGTTGAGAAGGCCTACTTTTTCCTTCAAATAAACTATTGGAGATATTTAGTCTTTGGTATGTGATGTTTCTTTCATTGTTGTAACTTTATGAATGAAAGCGGAGCATAAAATGTTTCTTCCAACATTTGAGCTTTTTCCTGTGTGTCATTTGTCAATTATACTAGGTCTGCTCTGCAAACTCTGCTCTGCAAAGTTGTGCTCAGCTGGATTATCGAAGCCAGATTTGATAGTTCTAGTCAATGCAATTTCTAAAAGAACTAGTACCGGGAACTAGTGATTCATATAGAAGGGCAGTTTTTCAATAATCCCAGTTTGATAAATGGAAATGACCATTGACTTGTGGTTGAAGATTGAAGGCTCAGTATTGGCTTTATTCCTTTTCATTATCTGTCCCTCTGTCTCTGCTTCCAGAAGGAAGGAAAATAATATTTTCTATAGTCTTTCAGTTAATGAATTCTACAGATGGGAGGCAAAAAAAGAAGCAGAGTGGGATAGAAGAAAGATGGGTAGAGAGGGCAGGAGAGAGGATGGGAGGGAGGGTGAGAAGGAAGGGAGGGAGTGGATCGGGAGAGAGGAGTGGTAGAGGGGGAGGGGAAGTAGGGTAGAGGGGGATGACGGAGGGAAGATAGCAAGTTGGAGGGGGGTGGAAGAAAGAGGTGTATGGAGAGTGGAAGAGGTATATTGGGTTTCTATTTTTGGGGGTATTGTTGACAAGAGGAATTGCTGTGATTATTGTTTAATGTTGTATGGCTCCGGCTATGCACAGTATATATGTGAGTGTATGAAAATGAAAAAATGGAAAATAAAAAGCTTTTCAAAAGAACAACATAAAAAAAAACAAAACAAAAAAAGAAGCAGACAAAAATAGAATGAAAATAACCTCTGCATTTTTATGTAAATATCAGCCAGAAACATGCCTCATCAGCAGCAGGTGCTTTTGTTTTAGTTGTTGTTATTGTGAGCCTGTTGCACTTCCTTTCCTGACTCTCTGCAAAACTAATATTTGGGTATCAAGAAAAACTCTTGCATCTATGGAGGTTTCCTCTAAATGTAAATTTGGAGAGATTTACTCAGGCTTTCACATAGTTATCCCCATAACAAAATAAAATAAAAATAAAATGTAAACGAAGGATATTACTACACTTCAATATGAGAATTACTTAAGAAATTGAATTACTTAAGAAATTGCTTTTGTATGATCATAAGAAACCTATGTCTAGGCCCATCATAGCATGGAAAGTGCAAGAATGTGATTATTCTGCGATTAGAAGCAAATGAGTTAACATCTAGTGATAATCTTGTATATAGTATTAAAATGACGCATCTGTCTTTCTTTCTCTCAACACAAATGATCCATATTCTAATATATTATTAATCAAATGTACCATTTAATGTAGGAATCCGAGCTTAAGCTAGATTGCTTTATTTATTTGTTTATTATTCATTAATTTTAAAATGACAAAGAGAAAAAAAGGCAAAAGTTAAAAATTACAAATACAAACATTACATGGAAAAGTTTGTGGAATAATACAAGGTAAAATTAAAAGGAAATATAAACATTCTACATGAAGAAACACTTCACTGTTGTTCTTATATATCACTTGTGCTGAACAAATATAAACATAGCTTTATGGAAGTTTAACATTTTAGCATGTTCACTCTACTTTTTGGGGAAATGGGTCGAACCTCGTAGTCATTTGGGCTCCCCCTCCCCCCCCTAGGTTGCTACAATAACATGTAAATTTCAGAGATGAATGGAAGGAAAGAAGGAAGGGAAGGAGGGAGGGAGGGAGGGAAAATTATCTGTCTGCTTGTTCCTCAGCTTTGTTAAGAAGCTAAATAATTGTCACCAATTTATAACTGCAAGTTTTTTTCATTAGGCTTCCTGAATGTCAAGATTCTTAATCCACCCTTCAACTTTAGAAGAAGATATTTCATCTTTTCTGTAGCTATGGCATGGTTCTCCTGTTTAAGATCTGCAGACAGCTTTCTGCAGTTCTCCTGCTTTTTGCTTTTTAGCAAATTTCATCTAGATAAATTGAGTTGACCAGTGGGGGAATAGAAAGAAGAGTTAGGTCTCTTCAGGTTCTGTGAAAATACTCCCACCAATAAGTGAAACCTATAGGATCTCCTGGTTCAACCTCTGATGATGTGTAATGACAGCTGTTGCCAAACACTATGATATTGATTGCCCAGCATCTCATGGGGAGAAAGAAGTTGTGGTGTCAGTTTCTGTGGGAACAGAACTTCTACTGGTCTTCTGGTTTGTTGACCATTGCCAGAGCTGCTTCTGATTGATGCAGCCCAGATCTTTAAGAAGTCGGAGGACATCATTGCGGAACTTAACCCCTATGAATGCATACAGGAATGGATTGAGACAGCAGCGGAAGCAAGCCAAGCTGTAAGTCACATCATTAGCCAAATGTAGGGTCTTGATGGCATTGCACTTGCCAGTGGTTTGGTTGAATTTTGAAATGGTCCTGAGGACTATGATGCAATTGTAGGGGAGCTGAAGGAGAACAAAAGCTATCATGACCACAACAAGGATTTTGATTACATGTTTTTTTTCAAAGCTGTGAGGTTGCAGCAAATTTCTGATGATGAAACAATAACATAAAGCCATTACCGATAGAGGTAAGCAAAACCCAAAGACCATCTGAGATACTCTTATACCGATAGTTAAGGCTTTATGATCACCTGTGGTGATGAAACATTGTGGTGGATCTGAAGGAGTTTCATAAACACTGGTATGGATTACTTCTGGGATAGAAAAAATAACAGCCAATGTCCAAATCAAGAAACAGGTAACTTTACTGGCAAACATTCTCTGTGACCGAAGACGATGGGCTGAAGTGGCCTGAACAATAGCAAAATACCTATCAATGCTGATGGAGAGAAGAAGAAGCATGCCACTGAAGAAACTCATCTGGCAGATGAGGTAAATGCCTTTGCATGCAAAGTCCCCAAAAACCCAGTGCTTGGCTGCACTGACTGCCCAAAATGGGAGAGTCAAAAGAAAGAAGATGTCTGACAAGGCCAGATTGAATAGGTAGACATCAGTCATTGTCTTGAGCCTCTTGAAATAGATGTAGGTTGCCATAACCAGACCATTGCCTGCCAGTCCCACAAAGCATATCAAGAAATATGCAACAGGAAGAAAAATAGCACGGAATTTCCGGATCTCTTCTTTTTTGCACATCTCTTCGAACTGACTGTAGTCAAAAAAATTGTCAGTGCTGTAATCCATTGTTATTTGGCTCTCTGTGGCAGCATCTTCACCATAGCTGTAGTTATTATTCATCACAAAGTCACCTTTGCAGAACTAGAAGGGAGATACAACATGGGTTATTCTTATCTCCCCATATTCTTTTGGTTGTGTGATTTTTTTTTGTATTACAAAGGAAACGATATTCAGATAAGAATGGCTTGTTTTTTTAGTGTTCTTCCTTAGGAACCATAAACATAATAAACTAATATTAGTTCTATTTCAGTTGAATTATGGTGACTTCCCTCCAAATAATTCTAGAAAATAATGGCTTAATAAAGTTAAGTATTAGAAGTTTTTAGTCTATACTTCCCAAAATTCCCAAAATGAAGGAGTAATGTTTCATTCCATACTTGAAGAGTAAACTTTTGAACTGAGTTTTATACCTGATGACAATGGGCAAACTCATGCATTATTCTCATCAACTATTCAAAAAATACTTCATCACTGATTTTGGAGGTGTTTTTGTCTACCCCAAAGCTGTGTGTTTCTTGGAGTTCCCCCATTCAAGTAATAATCAAAACTGATCCTGCAGCATAAATTATGCAAACCCATAACGTACAGGCGTGTTTGTGCGTGCGTGAAACTATGTGGAATACTATTATGAAATAGCAACTTACCCATAATATTTTTCCCTTTTGGAGTAAGTAGCTTTATGCAAGGTATAGAAAAATATTGAGAAGCAGGAGCAAAAGAAATTAAAAACAGCTGATAAAAGAAAACCTAGTTAAACCCCACTATTCACTACAACACTTCTCTTTTGTTTTTGCCAATCATCCATCCTGCACCAAATTGCCTTTTGTTTTTTAAGCTTGTCTTCCTTTTTTTGTTTGCTTGATTTTTTGTTTTTGAGCAGCTCAACTATTGTAGCCAGAATACTCCCTTCCACTCACCCCATTCACACTGCTTTCCTAGATTTACTTGTGTTGAATCCTTCTTCATTTTAATGTATGTTTTTGCTTCCTTCCTTCCTTTCCTTGCTTATTTTTAAAGTTTTTAAAAACCATACATAATTCTTAAGTATACCATTCTTACTGAATTCAACTTCCTGTACTTACCCAAATCTCAGTTCCTAATAATGAAAAAGGTAATTTTTCATTATATTATGTTTCGTTATGTTAGGCATAACACAGGTAGACGGTAAACACAGGGTCAATCAAAATGGACTCAAATCTCTATACACCAATGCACAGAGTATGAGGAATAAACAGGGTGAATTAGAAATTCAAGTAAATGAGGGCAAATACGATATTGTTGCCATTACAGAAACTTGGTGGGATGAAACCTACAAATGGAACATACAGCTAGAAGGATTTAAATTATTTTTTAAAAATAGACCAAATAAAAGAGGAGGTGGAGTTGCAGTATATATAAGAAATAACTACATCTTTACAG